AGGTATAGGGTGAATGGGGAGAATAAGAGTTAGGGCTTTTTAATCAATACATTGTTTTATATATGTGTGTATGTGTCTGTATGTGGATTTTGAGTTGTGTAAGTTATATGTTTTAAAAATAAAGAAAACTTGGGCCCTCCCTGGCGGTGCAACAGGTTAAAGTACAGCACTAAGAAGCTAACGCCTCCTGAGTATGAGTTCGATCCCCACCTGCCTGGGAGGTGATCCACATGGCGAGGCAGACCTCTCCTGAAAGGCCCACTGCTCCCCTCAGCAGTAATTCGTCAGTCAGCCTGTTCTGTTCCCAATTCTGTCTCTGGTGAATCCTTTCACTGCCCCTGCACCTCTGGCCTGTACCCCAGTTCTGAATGCATAAATAAATAGATCTTTAAAAAAAAATGAAGAAAACTTTTTATTTTAAAACGCTCTAGCTTTTTTGTTGTCGCTAAGTTAGGATATTCCTATTCAAGTTAATTTGAAACTATTATAAGCTGTGTAATTGTTTTAATTACCTGACTTTTATCTTTCTGCTTAATCCTTAGGATTAATTTCAATAATTAAATCTAATTCTTAAATAATTAAAATTTTAATGCTTGACAGCTTCAGTGTGCCTTACTAGCTTTAAGACTTCACAGTTCTATTCTTGCTTAGACCTTTCCATCCCATAGCTCAACAAACAAGAACTTTAGTTTGCTAGTTTAGTTTTGTCCACCTTAGCTCGGTCAGTCTTACCAGTCTTTTCTCCCCATCCTTCCTCAGAGCTGGAAAGTGATGACACTTCTTCTGTCTCATCTATATTTCCATGCAGGTATTTTCTTTTCACTACAAAGGAGTATGTCCAAAAAGATGAAAGTCAATGAACTGACTCCCAGAAAAAACTGTGTACCCTTTCTCTCAGGTCAATACTTAACTGATGGTCATCTCACAAAAGCATATGCTCCTCACATCTGGGATTCAGAGTTTAGCTTACATATCATCAATCACATGCCTAATGTGTACCAGGCACTGTGCTTGGTGCTTGGTGAAATGAAAATGCAGTTCTGAGTCTGAGAGTTCAGAGTCTGGGAGGGAAAACAAGTGAGAAGCAGAGCTTCAAGGCAATGAATTAAATATCGATAATGAGGTCAGCAGAACCTGCTGTAGTTAAGTTGGAGATTGGTTGGGGGTAGAGTGGAAGAGAATGGGTGAGGAAGCTTCTCCTTGTGCCAGAGTAACCTCAGATTTAGAGCAGGAATCGTCAAGTCTTTAGTCGGGGGCATAGAGTGGACACAATGATCAGGAATTGTAAATAATGTTTTGGAGGTGTAGTTCCACATAAGCTATTTCGAAAGAACAAGTATAAGACTGAGAGAAGCAAAAGAGCTAGAAACTTTGCAGAAATGAACCTTCCCCTTTCTTGTCACACCCTTGGGACTCCTATTATATCCCAACCCAGAAACCAAGGGAAGGATTCCCAAATATCATTTGAAGTCCTCGGGGAGAAGACACAATGTCTATGTTACTTGGGAAATCAACACTCCCCTAAGTGTCACACAGGAGAAAATTGGATGATGACTACAGCTGGTCAGACTCCATCCTTTCTCTCATTCTCACTGCACTATCCCAGTATTTTTTGCCACTGTCTGAACTGAGTGACAGATGAAGGCAGAAACATTTCTAGTCACCTTTTGGTGAATGAAGGGTTAGCCTCCTTTTCAGATTTATCAAGCATGGAGACTTGGAAATTTCCAGTGAATTGTCAATCTCTCTTGAGTTTTATAAGAATTATTTTTTCTTTTTCTCTCTTTGTCTTATCTCCTCACCATTTATGTTTCCTTTCTCCAGCAGACACATCTGCTAGTTGGGGTATCTGCACCCATCAATTCACATGTGTGAGCATCTCCATTGGAAACTGAAGTTATATATGAAGAATTCTACACTTCAATCAAAAAATTTTTGTTTAGAAACCAATGACTCCTTCAGCTTTCCCTTCCCTAAACTCAGGCTAATACTATGAGCGAGGGACTATGGAACTTAAAACAGCAAAACTAACAGTTGTACACAAAACTCATCAGCTAAAAGTGAGGACTTGGCTTTAAGTGAAACAATTTTCAACTATTTGATTGAAAGAAATTATAGGTAAGTGCATTAAGTCTTCTCAAATGAAAGGTTTAATTCCTGCCTTCCAGACTTCTTTATTCTTGTAGTGACCTGCATTGTGAGATCTCTGCCCCTCACTTAAAGCATGCCTTTTAAAACCTGGGACAGTGATCACATCTCAGAAGACACTCTTTCTACAGGGTGGGAAAGGTGGCCCTTGTGGCTAACTTGCCTCTGGCCATCAGAAGGGGCAGCTTGCTGTAGCCTCCTTAAGATCAGAAAACCCCTTTGTTTACAAGGCAGAAGACCAGCATCTGAAGACCTCTGCTCAAGAGGAAAGCACAAGAGAAGGAGCAGATTATCCAATGGCTCCCTGTTTTCCCAAGTGCCTTTTCCATTCTCAGAAACTTCAAGGATGCCAGGTGCTGTCAGTCTCCCAGTACAGGGTGTAGGAAAGACTCAAAAATGGAGCAGGGAATTGAATCATAGAAAGGGAAAGGATTCTTGCAAGGTGATCCTCACCTGACTCATGGAAACATCAAGGACATTTAGGGGAAGGTAGGAAGACTTCCTTCTAAGTTTAAGGTTGGGACTCATCTTCCTTTCACTCAACATATAGGTAGGCTCAGTTCAATGGAAGTATTTCCATAGAGAGTCAGAAATAACCACCCTGGGGTGAGCAGTCCTATTTTACTCCACTCCACCTGTGTAGTCTGTGCTTCAGGCCAAATGTACTCTGGTCATGTGCTGTTCTTTTCCATTAAAACTTTCTCTCCTTTCAAATACATACTTACTTTTACGTATTAATTTTAGGTATCACCTTCCTCTGTAGCACTTGTGAAGTTTGCAAGTCTCAGTTTGGTTCCCTTCCACGTCTCCATTTGGACCCTATGCACACCTGTGCCTTTCTACCTATGAGACATCAAGCTTTCTGTCATTCTCATTAGGCAGTGGGCTCCGTGAGAATGGTGACAATGTCTCTCCTTTAATCTGAGTCACCCAACATAGCACCTGAAATGTATGCAATACAGAGCAAAAGTTGGATGAGTTTGTTAACAGTAAGGCAGTTTGAACAGAAGCTGGAGGATTTAGGTTCTGAGCAGAATCCCTAGGGAGAAAGAACCAAAAATTATTTTATTCTACACAAAGTTACAAAACTTTTCCTCCTCAGACAGGACTCACAGGTAAAAAATTATAAGGAGTCTAATGTTTGCTGGAGACAAAGACTGCACAGGTGTGCTAGAGATCAATAGGTACCAGAGAAATAAAGCCTCAATGTCAGTTCCCATGCTGCCATGACTAAAGGGGATCACTGCTCTTCTAGTAATGGAATATCTTTCTTAAAGAATTATTATGTATGTATACAAGAACTGGGGTGTAGGCCAGAGGTACAGGGGATGAGACAGAGAGGGGAACAGACCAGGCAGATTGACTAAAATACACTGCTGAGGGGAGCAAGGGGCCAGACAGGAAAGGTCTGCTACACCACATGGGTCAGCTTCCTGGAAGGCCAAGGGTCAAACTTGGGGCTGGTGATAGTATCATAGTGCTGTGTCTTTAACCCCAGTACCACCAGACAAGCCAAACTGAAGCATTTTTAGACTAAGTTTCAGAATAGCACCAATTTGATTATTATAACTGATGGTGATTTTCAGATCTGTAAAGCCTAAAATGGTAAGGACTGCATTTCTGATTTCTTTAGTGATGACCAGGAATTCATAATTTTGTCTCTGGCAGAGTCCAAGTGTGTGAAAAAGTCATGTGTTGGTATTTGGGGCTAAAAGAAACTAAGACACCAATCTTAATATCCTCAGTATATTTAGCTGAGCATGGCCATGGAAGAAATAGCTGTGATACCAGATTGGCATTATATCAATGTGGTTTTTCCTTATTTTGCCTTTTAAATATGGTGTAACTTGCTTTAGGTAGGCAGGCACTTTATGATAAGCTGAAGTTAGACCTTTGGGTTGCAGGGAAATTCCCCACCTAAAGGGTAATTTCATTTACAGATGGACTAGTTGCCTAAATTCCTATGACTCATTCTATAGCCAACTTGAAGGACAGATGGGACCTAGATTTATTGAGTCTTCTTTTTTTTTTTTAATTTTTTTTAGATTTATTTATTTAATCATACAGAACTGGGGTACAGGCCAGAGATGCAGAGGGTGAGAGGCTTCACCAGAGACAGCAGGGAGCAGAACAGGCAGATCGACGAAGTACACTGCTGAGGGGAGCAGCGGGCGGGTCAGGAGAGGTCTGCCACGCCATGTGGGTCACCTCCGGGGCAGGTGGGAATTGAACTCATGCTGAAATGGTTTAAGCTTCTCAGTGCAGTGCTTTAACCCGCTGCGCCACCAGGGAGGGCCCTATTGAGTCTTCTAAGGGAAGTGACAATCAAGCTTAGAGTCTGGTGCCCAAGCTTACAGCCTAGTGCTTTTCTGCCTATCTTTTGTCAGTTAAGCACTGAAAAGCGCACTCTGTTAATTCTAGTACTTCTTGCTCTGTTAGAGTTTTACAACTGTGGAACATAGAGGAGCTGAGTCATTTTCCCAAGGTTACTGTTCTAGCAATGGACATAGTGGAATTCAAAAATAGGCAGTCTGACTCAAATTCTGATCCTGATTGAATGGGATCCTATTCTTCACAAAACCAGTTTTCATATATTTTATCCAACTCAAATATTCACAAATATTGTTATTATCATAATGAGAACAGTAGATGTGAAGATGAAAGCTTCTGGCATTTTCAGCTACCTTCTGGCTCTAAAATCAAGTAGATGAGAACCCCAGGTTCTTCACATCTTGACAGGATCTGGAGAAAGTGGGGGGTATGTGTGCCATATCATGTATGTCAGGGATGCTCTGGAGAAGACCTGCCCTCCCCAGGCTCATGTACATGTTGTTGTGCAGGTGGGAAAGGTAATGGCTCCTGACGGAAACCAGAGCAGTGGTGTGACGGAGTTCATCCTGGCAGGTTTCCCGAACCTCAACAGCACAAAGGCAGAACTGTTTTCTGTCTTCCTTCTTGTGTATCTGCTGACCCTAACAGGCAATGTGTTGATTGTTGGGGTCATAGGAGCTGACACTCGCCTGCAAACGCCCATGTACTTTTTCCTGGGTAACCTGTCCTGTCTAGAGATCCTGCTCACTTCTGTCATCATTCCCAAAATGCTGAGCAACTTCCTCTCAAGGCAACACACAATTTCCTTTGCTGCATGTATTACCCAATTCTATTTCTACTTCTTCCTTGGGGCCTCTGAGTTCCTGCTATTGGCTGTTATGTCTGTGGATCGCTACCTGGCCATCTGCCACCCGCTGCACTACCCCTTGCTCATGAATGGGGTTGTGTGCTTCCGGATGGCCTTGGCCTGCTGGATGGGGGGGCTCCTCCCTGTGGTTGGTCCCACAGTCGCTGTGGCCTTGCTTCCCTTCTGTGAGCAGGATGCTGTGGTGCAGCACTTCTTCTGTGACAGTGGCCCATTGCTCCGCCTGGCATGCACCAACACCAAGAAGCTGGAGGAAACTGACTTTGTTCTGGCCTCAGTTGTCATTGTATCCTCCCTGATGATTACCGCTGTGTCCTATGGCCACATAGTGCTGGCTGTTCTGCGCATGCCCTCTGCTTCTGGCCGTCAGAAGGCTTTTTCTACCTGTACCTCCCACTTAATGGTGGTGACCCTCTTCTATGGTAGTGCCATCTTTCTCTATGTGCGGCCATCACAGAGTGGCTCTGTGGATACCAACTGGGCAGTGACCATGGTAACAACATTTGTGACACCACTGCTAAACCCATTCATCTATGCCTTGCGCAATGAAAGAGTCAAGGAAGTCTTGAAGGACTTGTGTAGGAAAGTGGTGATAAGGATTTGTGGGGATCTTTTGCTTGCTAAGAGTTTCAGTAAGAAAACAGTGACATGAAAGTGATTGGATGTCTTAAGTCCAGGACTTCTCCATTGTTACTCTCTTTCCTACTGTCATCATGTATATCACCAACTGACTAAATTTGGGAACCACAAAAGAATCCAAAATCATCAAATCTATCCTTCTCTGTCTGGCAATATTCCTTGATTCTATCTCATACATAAGTCCACATTATTATTGATATATATTATAGTCAACTCCTCTATTACATCATAAGAACATCCCACCTGGGAGAGCTTAACTTAAGGGTTGATGGTCACCAAGAAGTCTAAAGATAGGCTTCACAAGAGTTATAAATCCACTTGGGATAGAGGAATTATATATTTGAGGCTATGTGCTTTTGTCTGGAAAGATGATTCATAGCTTTTATTCAGTTCTTAATGGAATCTATGGATGAGCATCATCAAAAGTTAAACTGATTAAAATTATCAAAGAGGAGTCTTCCAGTTGTTTGTGAAAATCAAGAATTTTAGGAAGCATTTCCTTATAATCATAAAAATGAAATAAATAAACTATCTGGATATTTGCATCATATGTTTCCTCAAAATAGCATTTACTCTCAGGGGGGAAAATCAATGAAGATATTTAATAAGGGATGTATTGATGTTTCCATGGCAGTCCTACATACCTTTGGAAATATGCATCAAAGAAATTTCATGAATAATATGTAATGTACCTTTATAATGTCTTCACACTTTATTACAAATTAAAGATATCTTCACTCATCTGTCACTGAATTGTGTTCCTTTCATTTATCTACTTTTACTTTCTCTTGTTTGTTCTGTTTTGGAGGTGTATTACTTTCAATAAAATCATTAAAAATTAAGCTAGATTGTCAAAAAAATAAAGGTTATCTCAAATATCACAAATTAAGAGAAATCTGAGAATAAAGAATATTTTTAAAACACCAAAACACACCTTGCTACATGGAAGGTGCCCAAGAAATATTTATTGATGAACAGCAGAGTGATAAGTACCGCAGAGTGGTAAGTATGTGGTGGCCGCTGCTGTGAGCCATCTTGGTAAATTCAAGTAACCAGAGCTGGAGTGTTACTACACTTCCATATGAGGCCCACTCCAGTTAAAACAGAACTTCCCACTTAACAGTTAGTGAGCAGTTAGAGGACTATCATCAGTGAAAGATAGACAAGAAAAAAATTCTTTTCCAGAAAGGAAGACAATCAAGTTTTTCTGTCTCAAGAACAAAGGCATCCTTGAGTGTTCTTAATTAAAGCTTTGTGTTCGTACCCCAAACTTGCATCATCTGAGAAATCCCGAGCCAGAATGCTAATATAAACATTGTTTCCCTTGCTAATACTCATAGGTAGAATGAATACAAAGCCTCTCAGGAGGCTCTCACCCTCAACACAAATAGAACAATACTCTCCATTGAACAATACTCTTTGTTGACAATAAAGTCTCTTGACATAAACTCATAATCCCAAAGTCATCAAATATAAAAGCTTTTGTTCTTCAAAGGATAATATCGAAACAGTGAAAAAGATGTCCTGTGAGGGAGCAGTAAATATTTACAAAAAATAGGTGGTAAAGGACTTGCATCTAAATATCTAAGAACACCTATGTCTCAATAATACAAAGGAAGTAACTGAATTGAAAAATAGGCACTGACTCTGAATAGACATTTCTCTGAAGGAATTTAAAAAATGATCAATAAGTACTTGCACCTCAAAATCATTTGAGCTAGTCATCTAAACTAACTTTAGTCATCTAGAAAATCAAAGCACAATGAAGTACCATATCATACCTACCGGGGTGGCTACAATGGAGAAGATAGATTATAACAAGCCTGGTGAAGATGTGAAGAAATTGGGACCTACACTGCTAGTGGGAATGTAAACTTGTGCAACCATTTTAGAAAACAATCTGGCAGTTTCTCGAAAGTTTAAACAAAGAGTTGCCATGTGATCAATCCATTCTATTCCTATGTATATAACCAAGAGAAATGAAAACTGTGTCCTACACAAAAGCGTGTACATAATGTTCATAACATTAGAATTCCCAAAAGTGAAAAACACATTGAATGCTCATTAACTGATGAATAGATAAAAATAATATATCTATGAACCAGAATATTATTTGGTGATAGAAAGGAATGAAGTGCTGATACAAGTACAATATGTTGGAGCCTAAAGAAGCCTAAGATTCCACATGTATGAAGTATCAAAAGTTGGCAAATCATTATACACAGAAAGTAGATTAGTGGTTACCCTGGCCTGTGGGAGAGGTTGGGAGAAAATAAGAAATGATTTTTGTATGGTATATGGTTTCTTTTTGGAACTATAAAAATATTCTTAAAATTAAATGTGAGGGCCCTCCCTGGTGGCGCAGCGGGTTAAAGCACAGCACTGAGAAACTAGAGCCACTTTCGCATGAGTTCAATTCCCGCCTGCCCCGGAGGTGACCACATGGCATGGCAGACCTCTCCTGACCCGCCCGCTGCTCCCCTCAGCAGTGTACTTCGTCGATCTGCCTGTTCTGCTCCCTGCTCTGTCTCTGGTGAAGCCTCTCACCGCCCCTGAGTCTCTGGCCTGTACCCCAGTTCTGTATGCGCAAATAAATAAATCTAAAAAAAAAAATTAAATGTGATGGTGGTACAACTGTGAATATACTAAAAGCGTTTAAATGTACACTTTATATGGGTGAAAAATTATATCAATAAGGTTGCTGCATTATAAAAATCTTTTTATAAAAAAGATTTTATTTGGGTTTTGAGACTCCCCTCTCCCTGCCATCTGAGAGTGTGTTAGACATATTTCTGCCACCAGAATTTCCTCCTTTCACCTCCCTGTTCAGACTGGTCCCTGATAAATTTCCTCCTCTGTGTCTTTGCTCATAATGTGTTCTCTCTGTCTTGATTGGAGAGTCCAATTTCTGCCTCCTGCCAAGGGAATAGCAGGTGTAATGGTGCCTCTTTCATCTCAGTGGTCATAAAAGCCTTTAAGAATCAGGACACACCTAGATCAAGGAGAACACTTATTAAACCAACGTGCCTCTATGCAAATTTCAGGGCAGGGAAAGGAAGAATCTACTGAATCATCATGGTGCCTACTTGGGATAATTATGGAGTCTAATACTAAAACCTCCAGTCAACTGTCCAGGTCTTCCCTTTCACTAATGCTCCTAAAAAGAATGTTTGACTTACATGTTCACACTGTCCCCTTATTATTCAACCCACCCAACTGTTATCTTCCCTAGACTTTCTGCTTTAAATGCCTGTGCAGGTTGGGCTACAGTCCCAGAATAACCAAACCAGTCATTAGAACAAATCAATATCATGAGGTTTCCTTATCAAGTTCCTACATTCACTGCTTTTCTGTTCTTATTCTTTAAACACTGGCTATCCCCAGGGTCTATCCTTAAATCATTTTTTCTGTGTGAATGCTCTTTTTTTGTGGGCTCTCAACCAAACCAGTGTTAGAGAGCATTCTGTGTTTTTTTATTCCTAAAATTTCTTCTCCCTGGATGCTAGGAGTTTATATCCAAATACCTCTGGCACCCATAGCAAATACATAGAAGCTCCAGCTACACCTAATGGAGTTTCTGGGGGGACCACCAACCTAGAAGTCAAGATTTGCTGGAAGATTCTACCCTCATTCTGCCCTCCTTTCAAATATCAACCCCAAAACTCATTTTTCTTGCCTGGCCACATAACTTATCCAAGAGACAAACCTCACAAAGAATGGATATAATTGGGCTAGACAGAAATCTTGCCAAAGATCCCCCATTTCCAAGCTGCCTAGGAAGAAACAAGTTTGCAGGCCTGTCCTTCCAGTAGTTCATAAGTTTGGGCAACTTCTACAAACAGGAGTGAACTGCACTCTAAGGCTTCAGTTAGACACCCCACACCACTTACAGCCCCCTTGATGTCCAAGTGAGTAATGAAAGAACACTAAGCATCTGGTGGATTCTTGCCAGAAGTTCCAAGACGACTGTGGTTATCTTAGATTGCACTTTTGGAAAATAAAAATTCTGGAAAAATTCAATGCTGTCTTTGATGCAATAAATGTCTGAGTCTTTGGCCCAGGGTTCTTTGCGTTGAAGGCCATCCCAGCACTTTCTGCTGTTGGGCAGCCAGACTCACCAAACTGGGCAGCACACTTGCTCTGCTAACTGGTCCAGAGCCCTGCGGCCAGGGGTAGGCGCCCTGTCCCTGGGCTGAGTGGGGAAGGTAGTTCCCTCCCAACTTTGCAACCCCTCCAGACATCACTCTTCTCTGTGAAATGCCCCCTTTAAAATTTTTTTTATTTATATTTATGCATACAAGACCTGGGATGTAGGCCAGAGGTGGGAGGTGAGAGGGGAAAGGGTTCACCAGAGACAATGGGGAAAACAGGCAGATCTACCTAATGCACTGCTGAAGGGAGCAGCAGGCGAGAGGTCCCCACTGGCAGTGTTGGTCACCTGGTTCCGCAGTGGCTGGGGATAGCTTGATAGTGCTGAAATTTTAACCCCGCCACCACTAGGGAGGGAAAACTAGGTTTTCTCTGCGTGAATTGCAGGCTGGTAAGGCTGTTGACTGTAGAGGCTTCTCAGAATCAAACTGGAGACTAGGACTTCCAAGGTAGCATATCTTCGTTGTTCCTGAGTCGTTGACAGAGGGGCCAAGTACTTACAAACTGATCGAAGCTCACAGGGGCTTTAAGGTAGGCTGACCTAAGCTTGGTGGCGTTCATCTCATTTAACTGGGGGAAAAAGGGTGGGGCTCGTCCGGGATTTGAACCCGGGACCTCTCGCACCCAAAGCGAGAATCATACCACTAGACCAACGAGCCAACATGAGAAGAGCTTGTTTTCCTCTTTATAAATATTGTTCTCCTTGTTATTGGCACCATCAAAACTGGGGACCTTATATGATTATTCAGCTAACCTCGATAATCTTTTCTTCCCAGGTTTCAAGAGCATCAATATACAGATCCGGAAGAACTGAGATACCCAGAATAAGAATGTTTAGTAAGGGACTCAGACTGAGCTCTGAGT